TTCGAACACCAACAGCCAGGCCACGACACACGGCTGGGCTGCTGCCGCACCCGTCGGTGTCGCCGTGGATGCTGGTGTGTTCACTGGTGGCTAAGGTGACCGGCCGACCATGTGTGTGTGTGGGTGTGTAAAATAAAAAGAAAGGGGATGGGGAAAAATAAGAGAAAAAGAGAGAAAATAAGAGGAGAGAGAGATAGTTACCTTTGGATATTCTCCACCTTGGGAAAGGTTCAATTTATCCATGTGATGGGTCTTTATACCCCCTCTCTAAACCCTCCTACTTATATTCCTTTTTCTACCCTTAATGATCCCTTCTCCTATTCAAACTAGTATTTTGACTTTCTTTAAAAACTCGTTGACTTTAAAATTTCCTTTTATAAAATAATATGCCCCAAAGTTTCCAAATCATGAAATAAATTATTTTCAAGACTGTTAAATAAATAAATTGGACCCTTAATTTAAAACTAAAACTCTTTAATTTAGTAAAATATCATAAATAATTCATTTCAACTTATTTAAATACTTTAAGAAATACTTATTTAAGTTAAAATATGTATAAAAATATGGGGTGTTATATCTGGTCAGTGACAGCCACCCCGAATTGTCCCTTGCGAAATGGTTCGAATTAACGGTTTCCATTTTGGGGTGGTAGGGTGGGAGAAGGGCGAAAAACCAGAAAGGGTAAAGGGCGTGGGCTGGGAGAAGTAGAAACGGCTGGATGCCTAGGCTTGGTGGTGCCCGACAATAAGGTTGGTGTGGGGGTGGTTTAATTTTTTTTTTTGATTTATTTTTTGATTTTATTTTTGAATTTTTTTGGACCAATTACATGTTGACACGTATGCAGGTAAACTGGTATAACAGGTTATTGACCGGTCATGACCTAATAGAAGAAAACAACCCCCAAAGTTGGGATTGTTCAAGAATAATCTATAGTTGGGATTATTTTAAGTTAGTGACCCAAAGTTGGGATTAACCGTTATTTCCTATTTGATATGTATATTTTATCAAATTTTATTTGTTAAATATAATTATTTATATATTTTTAAAATTAAGCATACCTTGCGTGGCACGGAGCCGGGGCTAAACTAGTTTATTGTTTCTAATTACATGTCATCAACTTAATTATAAGATTTGAACGTGCAACCTCAACTCTGAAAACTAAACATCATACCACTAAGCTATATCATATTTCATGTTTTCATTTACAAACAAAATTCAAAATTTAGAAAACATCAATATACTACCTAGGTTTCATATTAGTTGCAACTTTGGAATATTTTATATCTCACAAATAATACCCCAAAGTTGCAACTAATATGAAACGGAGGTAGTAAAAAGTAAAATGTAATTAAATATAAGTTTAATTCATTAATCAGACGTATAATAATTAATTATGTGCAATATTAAAAAAAATATATATATATATTTTAGTTTAACTTCTCACTCATTAGTCACCTGATCCACTCGCAAATGGTGGATGGATCGATGCAGGTGGTGTGTTAAGCGGGTGGCCTGGTAGATGAATGCGGGTGCAACTCCACCCGATATAAATTCATTCCATTACCAATGCAACTATAAGCACAAATCAAAATGTTTCAAGCATTTTCACCATAAGGTGTTCAAGAACACTAATCGAGTGTAATTAAGGAGCAAATTCAAAGTACTTACTTGAATTCGATGAAGATTCATGTTAGCAACTAAATATGTAACAAAGTGAAGCAAATTCGAGTGCTTCGAGGTGCAACTAGGGATGGCATCGGGGTGGATTTGAACCGGGTCTAGATGGACCCGGATCCAAATTTGTTTTAGTTTTACCTTGGATTCAGATCCGACCCTGATCCATCGGGTTTGAAAAATAGAAACCCATATCCAGATTTGACAGGTCCACCGGATCTGGATCCGGGTCCAAAACGGATCCGATACGTTTTGCCTAATTTTTTGCAACAAATGTAATGTTTGGGTCAAAAAAATGCATTTCAAACTTCTGCCGGGGGTTTATTAAGTTCAACCTAAATTAAAGTTATACAAGTAATCCAAAAATACAAAGCAACCAACTTGTACACTTGTCTTTTGAAAAAATTATAAACAGTGAAAAAAGTACGATGTTACAAATAAGCAAGTGAAAAAACGACGATATTGTATCCGATATGAGCATCTAAAATCCATCTCCCGAAATGGCTAATCTACATCACTACTAATATCATCAACATTATTCTTAATAAAGAAACAAACAATTATAGTTTTTTTGGGGAAATTATAAAACGAGTAAACGAATCCGGGTCCAAGTTTGCGGGTTAGACCCGAATCCAGATCTTTTTTTTTTCAACATTAGCCAGATCCTTCTGGTCCAAAATTTGAAGACCCATATCCGTGAAAAACGGATCTAGATCCATGGATCCTGGTCGGGTCCAGATCCACTGCCATCCCTGGGTGCAACTATTACCAAAAGCCATATAATATAAAGAAAAGAAAGTGCGACAAACATAACCAAACCCATCTTTATAAAAGAAGGCTATGTGGCGCACCCGCACACTTAGTTTGGTTTGAACCCATTTTCTGAAGATTATGGCATCTTTCAACCTCTAGTCATCGCACATTTTTAATGTGCTTAAATATTTTCAAAGTTTTTCACAAGCTCGACACGAGCACGATAACCGACCTACATATAGGCCTATGTAGTTTTTACCAATTTACCAAAATTATATAATTTATTAAAGAGGTTTGTTGGCACAACACGACATGACACATGAGTCATGTTATGCATAGGCTCCATTATTGAAATCGACACAAGTCTGACATGGCACGACTATTTTTTGAACTTATTCCACTCCAGGCATTACCCGCTTAAGCACGAGGCACATTAGCATGACACGTAGGCCTACTTAATACAACTCGTGCTCACCTTTAATTAGAGACCACATAAAAGACAAATGTGAAGGATTTTGAATTTTATGAAACAGATGGGAGTATTCAATTTACTACCTCCATTCTACAATATTTAACACAATCAAAGTTAACACATTTGTTAATGCGCTAGTTTGATCCTAAATATTAGTAATTACTTCGTATATGTTAATAAAAATTGTAAAAAGGGTTTATATTATGAAACTTGCTAACAACATATTATATGTTTTTTTTTTTTAATTTTTTTTTAACATTGGTAGAAAACATACTCAAATATGATGTATAAATATTTTTTAAAAAAATTAACATGTGTCAATTATTATGGAACTAGGTTAGAACCCATGCGATGCACGGTTTATATAAACCAATATAAGAATTATGCACCTTGTACAAAAAAAAAGGTGTAATTTTAAAATTTTAGATTTTCATCAAAAATATGAAATAGTATCGGTTCAACGTCACCTAATATATATTTCAATGTAGGAGGTCATTTGGCCTAAAAAAAAATTATGTAGGAGGTAATTTATTAGTATTATTAGATTAGCTCCCGTGCGATTCACGGATATAATGAAAAAAAGAGAGCTATATAAAACAATAATCCATAAAAAAAAAGCATAAAATAATGTTTCATTGGGTAAAGGGTTGTCAAAAGGTTTATTTAAAAAAATTGTGAAGAGTTTAACGTTTAGTATTCTGTATTAAAGTATTTTACAGTCAATATTTAGTTTTTTCCATAAAAAAATGAGAAAGAGAAAAAAAGTTCAGGCAAGAAAAATTGAAACAGAAGTTGACACGTGTACAATTTGGATAAATGAATGATGTCAGCGGTTGTTATTTTAGTATTAGTTATAGATATTTAAAATTCCTAGGAATAGATAGGTTTTAGTTGTAATGTGGAAGCTTCTAACATTTAAATTTCAAAATTGTTAAATATAATAGCTCCATAAATAAAAAAAAATAAAAAATTAAAAAAAATGACATCATCCTTGCATTTAGGCGGAATTTTTTTTCATTAAGGAAGCGACATGTAGGCAGTGGTGACATCAGCCTACTCTGTTTTAGTAATAGTTAATAGATAAAGGGTCAATTATTATGGAATAAATGGTGTTTTTTTAGAACAAACATATCTTTTTCGGTTATTTCATGAAATGCCACTGAGCAATTGTGAAATTCACCAAATGCCATGAACCTTTTCAAAATTCACCAAATACCACTGACAAATAGCACATTGACACCCAGTGCCATTGATGAGGTCTGGACGTTAGTTGGCCGATACTGGAAATCTTATTTCATGAAATGTCATTGAGGAGTTTATATATTTAACCAAATGCCATTACTTTTGTAAATTTTTACACAAAATACCTGTAAAGTAACTCAGTGTAACAGCTAGTTTGTTTGACCTTTTTTGAATTTTTTTGGGGCAAGTCTAGCTATTGCACCCAATTTGTTATATAAACAGTACACTAAAGCACACATAGCTGATCTTTTTGCATAATCATGAGCTTCATATCAAACACATCCTCCTCAAAACATGAGTATGCATATGTCAAGGTTCCATATAAATTTTGCAATTGTGTTAGAAAATATGCAATTAGAAGCTTGGAGTCAACATCTAATCCACAAAGGCTGTATTATAAGTGTGATTCATGTGATAGCTTCAAATGGTGCAAGGTTCAGGTGCATGAAGAAGGTCAAAGCAGGGGAAGTCAGAGTAGGGGAAGCTGTTATGCAAGGGGATGGCTCAGGACAAAGCAATGTGCATGAAGAATTGAAACAATTGAAGAAGAAAATCAAGCAACAGCAAAAAGTGCTCGATTGTATTATGAAATTAGGGGTACTGATGTGTGTAATAGTGGTGATTGTAATGATGAAGTGAACTATTGTAATTGCAATGAAATTTAACAAAGAGGGAAATTAAATCATGTGCCCAAAATATTGCTTCCTGTTCAAATCATGTTCCCAAAAGATTGCTTCCTGTTTAAATTACAAGGCTATGTCAAAAGAAACTAGATAACACAGCACACACTACACTGTTAATGTTCAAAAATTACATGGATAAACTGGCTGTGCATTAAAAAACATGAGTGGTTGTGCATTCATGCTGCTTTCTTTGTTTTCTTCTTGGGTTGAGAGGAGGTGGTTGATGTGCTTGCTTCAGTTGCAGCGCTTTTTTTCCTTGATGCACAAGTCAACATGTTGTGCCCCAATTCATTGCATAAGCTGCACTTAACTGTTGAATGCCTCTTCCCTTTCCTTGCTTCATTTGGCCCTCTTCTTCTTTGCTTTTTTGGTCGCCCTGCAGCTCTTTTCACCAATGGTGGTATTATGTTAGGCAGGTTCAGTGATGGCCATTGAGTTGGGTCTGGGTGCATATGCTCTGCATAAGTTAGCTTGTATCCTTCCCTTTGAAACAAGGGGCTACAAAGTCTACACGTTGCAGCCTCTAGTGGTAAATCACCCTTAGTACATGTTTGCATGGGAGTCCTGAATGTTGCCACTTCCCACAACCACAACTGCCAGTGTTCAGCTTGATGGGAAAATGCACATGTTGGTCTCTCACCTCAAACTCATCACCACCACTGGGGTTGCATAGCACAACCTAGACTCATCTGATCTGGTTTGCAGAATCTTGGCTGCATATTCAGTCAGCTCCATATCCCCCATGCTTAGGGCTTTGTCAAACCTTGAGCCAATCTTCTTCATGCCCCATTGCCTTATAGCTTCAAAACAGTATGCAAAGACATTATGAAAACAAGAAACAGGGGACTTGTCTTAATGCAAGTTGTTATTGAGTGGAAGTGAGTACCTTCAAGTATTTTCACAACAGGTAGATCTCTGTAGGGCCTGGAGCATGAGTTGAAAGACTCCACGAAATTTGTTGTGTTATGGTCACAACACAATGCAGGATCAAACTTATGTCTTGACCAGATCTCAGTGCAGCTCTCTAAGTATTCAACAACCTTAGGATTGTACTCTTGAATCTTTTGCATTGCTTTGTTGTATACATACTCATTGTATGCATCAGCTGCTATCCTAAAAAGCTTATGAAAGGCTGAACCACTGAATCCATTGGCCATGCAGTTCATGTACAGGTGCTGGCAACACACTCTTCTAGTTGCTCTGGGGAATGCTTCATAAATTGCTGTGTCAACACCCTGCAAAGAAAATAGTTTAATGGCTGAGAGTTGAACATAAGAAAAAATAGTAAATCACATGTAATAAACTAGTTTCCAGGTGGCTTACCTTCATTCTGTCAGAAATGAAGGTCCAATCATCTTTCCTGCACCCTTCCTTCTCAAAAAGGCATTTCAAATTCCTCAGAAAATAGCCCCAGCTGTCAATACTCTCAAAACCAACCACTCCATAGGCAATGAGAAAAATCTCATTGTTCCCATCAATCCCAACTGCAGTTAACAATATTCCCTTGAAATTTCCACTTAGGTGGGCCCCAACAATGCCAATGAAAGGTCTACAGCCTCTCAAGAATCCCCTGACTTGGGCAGCAAAAGAAAAAAAAAACAAGCCTTGAATCTTGGAGGCTCAGTTGCAGTAGGTTCATCCCATGTCACAAGAGCATAACTACCTGGATTAGTCTCTTTCACCATTTCAGCATACCTAGGCAACAGTGAGTATGCCTCTCTAAAATGTCCATGGATGATCTCCTTGGACATTGCCTTGACCTTGTACAATAGCCTTTTCTTGACTTCAAGCCTAAACCTTTCTGTACAGATTCTCTGTAAAGACTCCACTGGAATATCAGGATTGGCTTCAATGTCTGACTGCAGATGTCTACACAGCCACTCAAAACTTACTATTGGGTTTCTTTCCAACCTCCCACAACTTCTATGCTCCCCTGTCAAAGTCTTGATTGCCCAGCTAACCTTGTCCATTATTGTGGAGGCATGAATCCTCCAGTTGCAATTCTCTATAGCACACCTTGCTATCAATCTTGTTTTGTCACTCTTTTCAACATAAACACCAAACCCTTCCTGTACACAATAGTCCTTGAACACATCAAGAAATGATTGTCCGTCTCCAAATATCAACTATGGCTCTAATGTGATGGATCCAAACTCTTGATAGCTCCAAATTTTACCATTCTTGTAGGTTTTATCCATGGTTGAACTGCCATCAAGGTAATCCTGAAATTTCTTGTCAGGAATGTCATCATGTAGGCAATCTATTTCTGTCTCCTCTTCTATGAAGTCACCAATATCTGCCTCATCATCATCTTCTTCACTGCCCAGATTGTATGTAATCATCATCTTCACTATCACCATCACTGCCAGACTAATCAGAACTCTCCTCACTTACATGAACATTTGATGCTATGTTCCTTTTTTTTATCTCCTTAAAGTAACACTTTCCCCCCTTTTTGAAGCACTCTTTTTTGACCTAAATCCCTCGGGTCTTGATCTACCTCCCTTTTTTGCTGCTGTAGATGATGGAGGTTGGGGTTGAGATACAATTGGTGTTGTCGGTGGTTTAGGAGAAACTGGTGGTGAGACTGGTGTTGGTTCAGCAGAAGGTTAGGATGTTTGTGGTTGAGGGGAAGGTTGGGACGTTTGTGGACAGGGAGAAGGTTGGGATCTTTGAGTTGGCCTTTTTTTTTTTTGGTGTACTTTCCTTTTCCTAGGAGTCATTTTCTTCCTAGAACATGAGGTTTTGGGCTGGTTCATAGGAGAAGTTGGTTGAGATTGTTTAGGTGGAGTTGAGGGCTGAGTACTTTATTCAGGCTCAGGCTGAGATGCCCCAGGGAAAACCTCATCAGATACTGGAGTGTCAAACACTCTTACATACTCAACATTTGAGTCATCAACATTAACAATAGGAACCTCAACTGCAACTTTAAAACGTCGTTGTTCCATAAGCTCCCTCTCAGGATCCTCTTCTTCGGCCATCCTCTGGGCCTTTTCCTGATCCATTCTCTCCTTCTTAGCCATTGCCTTAACCTTTTTTTCCCAACTTGCTGCAGCATCCTTAAACACCAAACTAGGACTATCCGTTTCCTCTAAGAACACTTCTATTGTTTCCCTACCCTCATATGACTCCCACATTTTCAGCATTTGACTATCCCCACATAACTCAAACTTTCTATTAGTTCTAGGTGGCAGTACAGACAAACTAAAGTATTTAGGGAGGATCACATTTTGCTTGACAGAATCCTCAAACATGAACTCATACAAGTCCATTAGACTAGTTCTGTCAGTATCCTCAATCATCACATCAAAGTCCTGATCTCTGTAATGGACATCAAGCCACACTGTACTCATCCTATGAACAACAAATGACATATTATTTTACTGAACATCAACACACATCATTCATATCAACAAACACATACCAAGCCAAATATCCTGATTAACTCGCAAAATTTCATTTTTAGGACTCAAATACTGGGAAAAACACAAACCCTAACATACCAATACACACATTGCCAGATTCATACTCACAAATAAGGTTTTGAACATGATTTTTAACAACAATTCAAAAAAGGTCAATTCAAATAAACACATTACACTGATTATTTGAGAAAACCCTAACCCTAACTCAATTTTCGCACAAAAAACCAGAACCAATACGCGAAATGAAGATCAATAGAGAGATTATTACCTTGCGTGCTATCTCCAAGGCCTCAAAAAAAATTTCAGAACTCGCGATTTCCTTCTACTTCTTCCACTACTTGTGACAGCTTTTTGGTTCGCCCAAAATCAACAACAGCTAAAGCTTGAATCTTGTTGCGAGGGACGTTTAGTGGTTACAATACCCTTCTTCCTTGTTCTTAGATTTGAAGGTTTGAATGATGGTGAAACCTCGAAGAATAGGGGAGAGGTTAAGGAAGAACAAGGTTGTTGAAGAACATGAATACTTGAAAATTGGGTAATCAGAGAGTTAGTGTACTTTATGGCACCATTAAACACATTAAAGGGCAAAATGGTATTTTCACAGTAACTACCAACTAACTTCCAGACCTCATTAATGGCACGGGGTGCAATGTGCTATTTGTCAGTGGCATTTGGTGAATTTTGAAAAGGTTCATGGCATTTGGTGAATTTCGCAATTGCTTAGTGGCATTTCATGAAATAACCGTATCTTTTTTTATCAAGCTAAAAACATCTATAGGGACTTTTAGTTTATTCTGTCTATTGCTCCATACTACTCCACAAAGTATTAAAAGCTTATCTGCCTGTCACGTGGTAGTGCGGTACCTTGCTCTCACGTGTTCTAAAAAATCACCCATTTGTGAACGTTTTTTTACAAAAATTAAATGACAATAAAAGTGCTAATAATGGAATTTGATCTTATGTACATTAGTACATAAGCGATCATTTAAAGGGGGTGAATCACTTTTAAGTTTAGACCAACCAGAAACGGGGTTAGATGTCTCTTATCATAGCTATCTATAAAATGCTCTTATACTCGATGCATATATTCCCTCCATCTCCAAAATACAAGCATCGCTTGTTTTTTGCACATATTAATACAAACATAAATTCAAAAAAGGAAAGGAAGGTTAGAAGCAGGGAGGCATATGACAGTTATCGGTTTCGAAAGGAAACATGTTGTCCACCCTTTACAGCATCAAATATTTATGTCACCAATTCATCATGCAACAATTTAAAGTTACATTCCAAGGAGAAAAAGTAGCCAGCCATACATGGCATAAAATTCGAATACATAAGAGTATCTCTTACAAATTTCTGAATATCATTCTAACTGATCTATGGCAAACCCTAAAAATGCTGCCTAGATGTTAGCAACCCGCATCACATCTTGAACATAGAATATGCTATAAACATCATTCACAGAATGTAAATCAGGGGAGAGACCAAAGAATAAGAAAAGTAAATGAAATCCTTTACAAAAAATAAGGTATACCTAGGACCTGGTTGAAGCTATGCTGAAACAAGACCCACATAACCTGCAAGAACTGCCAAGAAGGCTGATATGAAGTATGCACCAGTGACAATCGATGGTTCTTTCATTCCGTATAATTCGAGGTAGTGATGCAAAGGAGGTACTTGGAAAAAACTACGTGCTCTCCCCTGTAAGCTCTCAGCCGTCCTGAAAGGAAATATCTGAAACACAAAATCAGTCAGAGATCTTGCCAAAGCTCCTTGTATTGCCTGGAAACTAAGCTCCTATAGAATAAACAACACTTACACACACACACACACACACACACACACTCACACACACACACATTAAAAGTTGATGCCTGAAACCTAAATGTTTCATAATCATCACCACTTACAAAGTACTAAACATATAAGTTAAAGATGAGAGACTACTATGCCAATTGAGATGGAATAACTGAAGCAACTTCTTCAAGTATAAAGAACTTGCTTAAGCTTTGCGAGTATCTAATTTTATAAACCTATTGAACATGCACAACCAGTTATCCAATATGGATTTGGAGAGATTCAAATTGTTCGGATTAGTGAAAGCAAAATCAAGAACAATGAACTAGATAATCTGAACATATCAAGGTATGTAAATAAAGAGACAATAACAATGTAGTATTAACAACAAACAACAAAAATACAAAGCTTTATGTAATTCATTTACAATATGTTAGATTGTTAGCTACATTCACGAGTAGGTAAGATGAAGTTTTATTTTCCATATCTAGGTTAAAACTTAAGGAGTTCATATAATATTCCCAAATCGAAAACATAATAAGCCCAAACACAAAACACAATCACAATACAGCGTAAAACCTCGAGGATCGTCCGTAGGGGTAAACATATTCAAGGCATATTCTAACGATTTATAAAACTTTGATTTTTACGTTTGGTAATATACAACTTTAAATAGTTAATATATCTGACTAATAATTTATGAAAATTGTTATTTTGATAATCAACATTGATACTAATCTAACAAAATTTTGCATGATACCATATTCTTATCATGCATTAGTGTGGTAAAATTTAGTTTTAGAATAGTTCAAAGTCTTTTATTATCTTATTTTAGTTTTTTATTAGTTTTTTTATAAAACTGAGGAAGTGGAATTTTAAAAAAAGTAAAGTTGCATACAAGAAGACTTCGCAAAACTACATCGAATATCAAACAGGCCTCATGGCTGTGTGGTTTATAACTTTGACTCGTACTTTGTTGCAGTTCTCATATAAAGTCTACAAAATCTCATGTAAATTGAAACCCTCCTTGTTCCTTGGCCCTAACCCCGTGTTAGACTTTTCGACTAGCTATGTCTAACACATATACACAAAATATAAACTTTATTCATCTAGACTAATACTTCCTTCGTTTTCCTAAGTGTTACTCACTTTTCATTCTCATCTGTTTTTCTAAGTTCTACTCACTTTTACTTTATTCCCATTATGACAAACTTTATTTATTTTTATTCATATAAAACCCTACTTTGTGGGGCCCAATTATATTTAATAAAACTCATATTCTTTCTCTCTCCTCTATAAATAGTACCCACATGCATGGTCCCCCATTTCTACTTTTTCTTGGTTTGCGTATTGTAGTAAGACTTAGGAAAATGAAGGGAGTAGAAAGAAATCATCATCAAACATGAGACAATGAAAAACAAGCAGAAAAACAAGTAAATCAATGACATCTAATACGTGATTTTTTTTCCCCCAATAGATATTACTTCCTCCATTCCTAAGATTGCAATGTTTGCACTTTTAAAACTACTCACACACTTCTCTTCAATCACATATTATGAGTCATGCGTAAGGAAAAATATGGTCATGGTGAAGCCTTGATAGATTCGTCTAGATATATAATTGCACAATATCAACTTTTTTATATTGTAACCATTGTTAAAATAAAGGTATTTAAGGTTTAAATTTTGCTTTGTGAAGTGTACTCCCTTCCATATGAAATATCCAAGCAATGATGGAAAGAAATATCACTCATCCTCCAATGTGTAGCCATAAGAGTTTTGTAAGAACCTTACCCAGCCATAACCTATCATTTTAGTAAATCATTTTGAAGAATTTAACAAACTAGAAAGGAGGTCAAATTTAGGTAATCCATGAAGATGTTTTAATAATTTAAAAGGAATTTCTTTTTTCAAATTCTCTGCTTTGCCAAAAGTTAAGGTGGTAATAACCCATTTATAATCTATAAAAATGCAAACAAGATATTTGTTCTAGGCTTTGATCTAATAACTATATACTCCATTTTCATTTTATTTTTTACTACATTACTTTGACGGTAGAAAAGTTTTAGGAGGGTGAGTTAAATAGAGTAAACAGAAATCTGTTGGGAATTAGAAAATATAAGAAAGACAATTAAGTTAATAATATGTTCCGAAAAAAGGGGAGTGAGGAAATAAGTCGGGATCATGATAGGAGAAAAATGAAAAAAAATTAATAAAAGGAAGTGATGCACTTAATTTTTTTTATCTTTTTTTAAACGAGTATTGTTTAATCCATTTGCAAAATTTATACAAAACACTCCAACTATTTGAAATCAATAGTCAAGCAAAACCTATTTGATCCATGTCGAGAGCTAATTTAAAATTGCCATGCAATTACATTTTCCACTATAAATGCATTCTTCCTTATAATATAAAAGATAATTCAGTCAAATTTCAATGAAGTAACCAATAACTTAATTTTGGTGCTATGTGTATAGACCTACTCCAGTTATAGCGATAAAACATTAACTTATAAAGAGATAAACATAACAACACATCCAAAGGGGGCATTAGATGAAGCAATGAAACATAGCCTACATAGGACTTAAGGAATTATTTTTGCCTTTAGTCACCATATTTTTTGAATCCTTGCCTATTTAAAATCTCACTCTACATTTTTGTAGTGAAATTTAGTTATTCGCCCATCTAAATAAAAAAAAAATTTGTTCAAATCTTTCCTGGAAAAATCTCCATGAGATGTGTTTTTTTCTTGTTCCAAGACTTCCAACTACATACACATTTTCTTATTTTTTTGGTCCAACAGATGGCTATAAACCTAAAATAAAGAAAGAGAGTGACTTTGACCCTTTTCCAAATTAATTTCCAATTCTGCTTCAAAGAGAGAGAGAGAGAGAGAGAGAGAGAGGGGGGGGGGGGGGAGGGGGAGGGTGTGAAGATACATTAAATATTTTCTAACATCATGCATTAAGAGCATCAATATCTGGCAACAGAATAATGGCTCAAGGATGTTCAAATGACCATTGACCAGCGAATCTTAGTAGTCACCAACCATTTAAACCAACCACTTTCTACCCTATCCATGGTTTTCTATAATCATTTGATAACTTAAATAAACGCCATATAATGAGTTTGTGTGATAATGATAGGCCATAAACACATGAATAATCAAGTACAACATTCACATTTAATCGGAAGAATGAAAAACAAATACAAAGAAAAAGAAAAAGAAAAAGAAAGGGGAAAGATTTGCCTGAAGAGCCTCAGTACGATATGATTATAGGTGAATATTTTAAATATTTTTTCAGCTCACATTATTATGTCAGAAGCACAGACATAAATGATAAAAGTATTTGCCACAGAATAAGAAGATTAAGAACTATATAATTTTTGAAATTGATGTTATGAAACAGCATATTATAAGTAAAAACTCTAAACATCAAAGCCAAGTAAATTAACCAACATATACCTGTATTACCACAGCAATCACTTCAATGACTAAAATTCCTGAAGCAATGAAAAGGGGTATGAACATGCCACTACATGAAGCCATCGCAGCTAGGGCTCCACCTATCGCCAAGGATCCAGTATTACCCATTGTTACAGATGCTCTGTAGCGATTGTGCAAAAGAAAACCAACACAAGCACCTGCCATTGATGTTCCAAAAACGGAAACATCTAGTTTTAAGAGAAAAGTTCATGAGAAGTAGAATTGAATGGCTTATATTTTTAAATTCTAATGTAATTATATGTTCATCGAAAAGTTTAATTTCCACAAAAGACAAGCTGACAGCAATGAGTTAATCATAAATGACAAGTTCATATAATTTTATACAATATACACATGCGTCAAGCAATACTACACCGGGAAAACCGTTTCAAGGCTCTTAAGTAGGTGAAGAAATGGTAGTGTTTGTATGAAAGTCACAAGCAGTGAAACTCAAGTACTCTTTTTGTCTCAGAAGTAACAAGCAATATACACATTACCATTTAATCTCGTGAAAAGGAATTGACATAAACAGCGAACAAAGCGATAAGAAAATAACTTGCTCGCCACTATGGCAATTTTGCTCAATACTTGGCAAACATAAGGATATACTTAGTTCCATCAAATCCACAGCATTAACCACAATTGACTCCTCATAGTAGATGTCTGTTTTAAGTAATGGAGTACAAAAGGTTATAGGATAATTGTTTATTAAAGTCATAAAAGTATGTATAAAAGAGAATATAGAGTGAAATTTTATGGCCTATAATAACTATAAAATAAAAATTCACCCTATTGTTTATGTTGAGAAGTTTTGAATAATTTGAATTCTACGTAGTAGTAGACAAAATCCTCAAGTACCAAACGAATTGAAGCACATAATTGTTTTTAATGGGCCTAATCAGTTAAGGAAATTGCTAGGTTTATTAGTGGATTGAACTTTAGCAATGCCAAAATGACTAAATGGAGCATCAGATTAACCTTCAAAATTGACCTAGGTTAAGCAACTTTGGCTAAATTGGAGAAAATAGGCAAACTTGAGTTAATATTGGTTTTTCGTCTAATGAAAAAAATAACCTACGAACTGAGAGAGTGGCAAAAGGATGCAGCCCAATTCACATCCAATGCAATAAGGCACAAACATTAAAAAGACCCATGAAGGCTTTTATATTATCTTGTGTATTTAGAATATAACATAACAACTTTATCTTAGTAATCTTATAGTTTTATTTATGGCTATAACTTATAATGATCTTACTAAAGAATTGGGAGCCTTTGACAATTTTTATCACCAATTTTAATGAATAAAAAAAATCCAAGGAAAAAGAGCCAAAGGGTGCCTGATGTACATAAGGCTCTAATTTAGCCTCCGACCCTCAATGCACCTTGTACTTTTTTGAACGGGAGGAGGCGAAGTGTTGGATAAAAGTGAAAACCAACTTCAGAAAGTTCATAGCAATGAACAAGGAAGCAAAAAGGGAAATTCCAAATTATCAGATAGAGTCCTTAATATAATGACCCATGAAAAGAATTAAGTGCTCTAATGTATGTCATCTTTCTCAAATTAGTTTTTATAATACTGATTTTGGAAAGACCCACTATTATTTTAATACATATATTTTTCCACTACATAAAGTTAGAATCTTACATTCTCTCGCATCCAATCAAAAAGATACTCCACTCTCCCATCACTGAGCATTCAATAAAATTATATCCCACTATCTCCTTTAGTTGTCAATAAAAGAACAATTGATAATCATAAAACTAATAACCTAAAGGCTAAAAGAATGTGTCATGATAAGTGTCCAAGCTAATCTAGGATGGAGGGACCAACTATTGACACCCAAAAGATACAAGTCCATAGTACAAAACTCTCACGCTAAGAAAACCACGTGGAAAGAAAAGAAAGACATATAGGATCAAGAAGACCCAAAGGCAAATACACCTCTCCTTGAACCAAGGGGTTAAGAAGTCCCACGGGAGGAAGATGCTCAAATACTAGAAATTATGCAGTTCAAAATAGTTGTCACAACCAAGCATTAAAAGATGAACAACCTGACGCCTTTTTCTTTGGAATGACACTGCCTCATTGTTAAGGTAGTAGCTTTACCTGCTACACAAACTTTGACTAATCTAATAAACACTACACAAGCATGAGGTGATATTAATTAGTCTCTCTTATGTCAGGATCAACTAAAACTAAAACCACAGAACCAAACTTCTTACTCTACCAATTAACCAATTTAGGGTGAATAAGAATCACACCTACAAAAAACTCTCTCTAGAAACTCTCTCTCTACATTTTTTCTTTTTTCTGCCATGGCGAAAAAGAAATCGAAGAAGGTGGTAACTAGGGGGGAAGGAAGAATAAGAATGATCTTGGTGATGAGATTGAAGAGGCGAATCGATTGATAGCTTAATCGAAGGAAAAATCGAAGACTGATTTTGTGGGTATTCCACCCCCAAATTTTGACGAGGTTGAAAACTTAGAGGATTTTATTAATGTGATGAAATCGAGGGAAGAGGTAATGGAGGTAGCTGACACAGAGGTTATGCAAAACAAAGTATCGATTGCTGAAGAGCGCCATGCTAATCCAGTAAGTTCTGCTGTTAAATCTTTGTTGCAATTGTCTATGGATGATGTTTTTGATGAACTTGCATATTGAAATCAGGGTATTGTTGCTTATGTGTTTGGGGCTAATCCTTTTGTGAATACAACACGGGTTTTTGTAAGAGAATGTGGGGAGTGAAGAATATTGATAAGGTGATTCCCTTGAAACACGGAATATTTCTAATTAGATTCATGAATGCTGAATCTAAGGAAAAAGCTCTTAGTTCTGCCCATTTAATGGTTGATAATCATCCGATCTTCATGAAGCAATGGGAAGATGGAATGGAATTGAATTTTGAGGACATTACTAAGGTTCCTGTATGGGTTCAAATTCATAGGCTACCTTTGAAATATTGGGAGAAATCTTGTCTAGAGAAGATTGTTAGCTTAGTTGGTATCCCAATTAGGCCTGACAATGCTACTTAAATGAAGGAGAAAGTGAATTATGTCAGATTTCTAGTTGAAATGAATATTAATGGAGATTTTCCTGAATGGATTGAGTTCATGTTGAGACTAGCAGTGTTGTTCGGATGAAAGTAGTATTTGAGTGGAAACCTGTTAGATGTGATGTGTGTAAACAGATGGGTCATACAAAAGACATGTGCAAGAAGGTCAAGAAAGTTTGGAGACCAAAAGAGTTACCAGTGAGAGAAGAGCAGCAAGTGGTTAAACCTTCTGATAAGGTGGGAGGTGAGCAGGACTATGACAAACAAGAGGGGTGGATTAGAGCTACTTCTAAGCATAGAAGTAGTGCAGGGCAGATGTTTGGGACTAAACTAGATGCTAGATTGGTTTGTGTGGTATTTTGGAGACTAAAGTAAAACCCAGTAATTTTCCTAGACTTTATACTGGGATGTTGCAAGGTTGGTGTGTGACTTCAAATTTTTCTTTGATTAAAGGTGGAAGAATTTTAGTGGCTGGCCTCCTTAGTTTCTCTTCTAGGTGCAGGTGCTTATGGGTACAACTCAATTTATTCATCTAAAGGTTACTAATATTGCCTTGAGGATGGATTTCTTTTGTTCTATTGTATATGTTATGAATGACTGTAAAGAGAGAGAAGCTTTGTGGTCTGATATTTGTAGCATTGGGGCAGCTATGAAGGGGTCTTGGATGGTTTCGGGTGATTTTAATTGTCCTCTGAACTATGAAGATAGAATTGGGAAACCCATAACCCATACTGAACTTGTGCAGTTTAGAGATTATGTTCGGCAGTAGGATGCTTTTTTACCTGGATTAATAAGCAGGATGGAGGTCAAAGGGTGGTGAGTAGGATTGATAGGACCTTGGTTAATGAGTGTTGGGTTAATGCTCTGCCTGAATCCTATGTGAATTACATGCCTAAGTCCTGGTTTGATCATAGCCCGGCTCTTATTCAGTTAGATTGCTCTAATCAGATTCAGAGAGGGACCTTTAAATACCTTGATATGTGGTCTATGCACCCAGATCTCTTGTCTACTATCCAGCAATCCTGGGATACCAATATTCATGGAGTGCATATGTATAGAGTGGTGAAAAAGCTTAAATTACTGAAAGCTGGTTTGAAAAAGTTGCATAGAAAAGATTGTTCATATCTGAAGCTCAAACAAGAGATTGAGAATGTTCAGCATGTTTTGCAGAATGATCAGGCCAATGAGAATGCTCAGGTAAGTAAGAGGAAGCTGTTACAGGATTTCAATCTGGTGAAAAGCAGTATTATTCTTTTCTCAGCCGAAAAGCTAAGATTAATTGGCTCAAAGTTGGGGATGATAATACTAGTTTTTTTCACAACTATGTGAAGCAAAGACACTATAAGTCAAGGGTTATTGCAATTACTGATAATGCTGGGAATTGGTGTGACAGACTTCCTGAGAAGAATTCTAATGCATTTGTTGACTATTATAAGTCTCTCCTAGGGAGAGATAATAGAGATAGGGTGAAAGTGCAGGAAGAAATTGTTCAGCATGGGAATATTCTTTCAGATGATCAGGCTATGCTCTTGTGTGCCCCTTTTAGTAGACAGGTTGTGAAGAGGGCTTTGTTTTCTATTCCCGGTGATAAAGCTCCTGGACCTGATGGGTATAGTAGCAACTTTTTCAAGCATGCTTGGAGTATTATTGGTGAGGAAATGACATGCTAATTTGCAGTTTATGGATAAATAAGATGCTGAAAGAGATCAATTGTACCACTCTGACCTTAATCCCTAAAGTAGATAATCCTACTTCTGTTATTGAGTTCAGACCTATAGCTTGTTGTAATGTGATTTATAAGTGCATTACAAAGCTGATTTGTAATAGGTTGAAAACAGTTTTTGCCGTGGCTTTTTCTCAGAACCAAACTGGGTTTGTAGAAGGAAGACAAATTGTTCAGAACATAAGCATTGTGCGCATTGTGCAGGATATAGTGGCTAGATATGAAGGCTTATGACTCTATGAAATGGGAGTTTCTTGAAAAAATGCTAAGGGCTTTGAGTTTTCCACAAAAGTCATTATGCTGGTTATGAGTTGTGTAACTTCTACCTCCTTTTCTTTGGCTATAAAGGGGAGTTTGACAGGTTTCTTCAAAGGAAAAAGGAGGCTGAGACAAAGGGATCCAATGTCTCCTTTGCCTTTTGTTCTTTGTATGGAGTACTTGTTTAGGATTTTGGGTCAAGTTGGGATGCAGAGGAAGTTTAAGTTCCATCCTAGATGTAAAAGCTTGAGGCTGAATCATTTGGTATTTGCTGATGATCTGATTATTTTTAGCAGTGGTGATAAAGACTCTATTGTCCTTATTCTTAGAAGTTTGGCTACTTTTGCAGCTGCTTCTGGCTTGGTTGCCAATGAAGGGAAGTCAAACATTTATTGCTGTAATGTAGAGAAGGAAATAAAAGATGACATTATTAGTAGTTCTGGCTTTAAGGAGGGTTCTCTCCCTTTCAGGTATCTAGGTATCAATGTGAGTGCTAAAAAGCTGGCTAAAGATGAGTAGATAACTGTCAAATGCTTACATTGACAAAATGTAGGATTACGGCTTGGGGCTGCAGGACTTTATCTTATGCTGGAAGAGCTTAGTTAGTGAATTCAGTTCTGATGTCTATGCACATTTATTGGGTTACTATCTTCTTGTTGTCTAAAAGTGTGATAGATGGGGAGGTTGCTATATGTAGAAATTACTAAGTCTCCTCCTGTTGCCTGGGACATTGTCTGTAGAAGTAAGAAGCAGGGAGGATTAGGGATTCATAATTGTAAGATCTGGAACATTGCAGCTCTTGGGCAGATATGGAAAATTGCTCAGAAGCACGACAATTTATGGTTAAGATGGGTAAATGGTTTGTATCAGAAAGGGAAGAGTTGGAAGAGGTTTGAGTGCCCTAATAATGTTAGCTGGAACAGGAAACAGATTTGGTGGGTTAAAGATCAGCTAAAGAGTGGATACACAGGGAATACCAAGAAGGAGAATATGAAGGGTTACAATATTGCTAGTGGCCATAAATGGCTTTCTAAGAAACATGATGAGGTTCCCCGGTGCAGTTGGGTCTAGAATAGATTTATTATCCCTAAACACAAGATCATTTGCTTTGGAAAAAGATCAGAGTGAAAGAAACAGGATTGGAGTGAGTGCTGATGCTAAATGCCCTCTTTGTAATAATGCTGAAGAAACAGTTGAGCATTTGTACTTTGGTCGTGATTACTCCATGAATTGCAGCAAGGTCCTTGCTCAAAGCCTTCAAGTTCAGATGATTCCTAGTACTCCTAGTACTCTGGACTATAATAACAAGTTAGGGCAGATTCCTGGAAGGTTTAGAAGACAGGTTTTTCAGAGCCAGTATGCAGGGCTGTTGTATGTTGTACGTTATCTGGAAGGAGAGAACTCGAGCTGTTTGGGATAAGAGTATCAGAAGACCTGAGAGTGTTATCAAGGAGCTTTTGTTTGATATTAGGCATAGAATTGATTTTGTCATGCCTGCTAAAACCAGTAGGAGAAATGTAGATTGGTTCAAGAAACTGATGTATCGATAGTGTTGTTGAGTTTGTTTTTGCTCGGTTTTGTTGCTGCTTGATTTGGCAGCCTGTTGATGTATGGTGGTTGGTCTATTATTAATAATATTTTTTGATTTTTTCAAAAAAAAAAAAAAGAATCACACCTACTCTCATGAAAATGCGTCTCACAAGCCCAAGTTTTTATCAATCAATCAAAGCCTTAATCCCATAAGTGGGAAGCCCAAGTTTTTATGTATTTTGAAGAGCTGAGATTATTGAGATTTTGAGTTTTCATAAAAACTTGGGCTTAAACAGCTCTTCAAAATACCTAATTACAATCTACGGCATTTTATATAGGCAATATAAATCCTAAAGTAATTTAACAAAGATCTAATTGATACGGCTATGTTACTCGGACTCGGGTACCCATGTTTGACACGGGTACGGATCCAAGTGTCTGACTCGGCTATTTTGTGAAAATATTCTAAGATTTTGAAGTAAAATAAAGTGTCCAAGTGTCGAGGGTCTGACAAGAGTACTTGAGGCAAAATGAAGAGTCCGAGTAACATTAAACACAGTTTAATCGACATAATTTTCTTTATGTACCCCCTCTGTCCCATAATACATGACACAGTCAAACATTGCACACATGTCAATGCATTAGTTTGACTTTATTTTTATATAATTAAATATTAATGAAAATTATTTTAAAAATTATATTATGGAACTTTATATTAAAACCTATCTAAAAACATATTTTATGATAAAATATATTTTTATTATGTTATTATAAATTTATGTTCAAACCTTTTTTTTTTTTTTTATGAGGAAACCTAATGCATGAATAGTGAAAAAAAGTCCAACGTCTCATGTATTATGGGACGGACGGAGTAGTTAGTAGGTAGTGGACTTGTGGGGACCATTACTTCGATTGGAAAGGGGGGTTAAATTTCTTAATTGTTTTCATAGTTGAAAAAAAAGTGGGACCCATATGAAAGATAATATAAAATTGATGAGAATATTTCTTTTTAGGAAAAACAAAAAAATAGAAGTGTATCTAGTAAATAGGGATGACCCGATATGGAAAGTGTGTTAACTAATTGGACTAGAATTCAGCATGGGAGTATCTTTTTTCTACTCACAAAAAATCTAATCCTTATAAAGGGACTAATAAAGCTGCGTAGGACTCCTCATAAAACATTAACAAGATATGACTTATCATAATTATACTAAAATTAAGCTTTAGCTTCCTTGCACGCCAAGTTTCCTATACTATTCAACTACCCTTATAGTAAAATAGTCATATAACTAATATAACCAACCCAAAATAACATATAGATATGTCAACAATAATAATGAATTTGAGATTTGACCAAAGCAACTCAAATCCACGTCACGAGACTTATGAGCTGACAAAGGGCAGGATGCCAATGCGGCAGGGATGTTTTAATGAGGCTATTCAGCTAAACAAACCATGGAATGAAACCTAGGCATATGCAGAAAACATCAAAAATTCCTGGAAGTCTCGAGATTAAACAAGGCAAATACACTCTTAGACTTGTAAATATGATTTTATAAAAACATGAAGGGTTTAGTTAAGGAAACATCATTTAACTTAACTAGGCAAAAGGGAGGGAGGGACGGAGGTAGGGAGAGAGAGGAGGGAGGGAGACTAATAAATTTGTCTCCACAATCTAGCAAAGGATTAATAAAGATTGACCTGATTCTCTGTGGTACTTAAATTACCATGAAAGAGGAAAAAAAATAAAATAGACTAGAGGCTAACATATGAGTAATAATTAATTGGAAAAAAAAATGAGGTATGCATGTTTGTTGGCATGATATAAATCTCTTCTTATTATTTACTCCGTAATTGATATAATAAGGCTCTGCTACAACATAAAATATGAATACTCACCAGAACAAATTGGAAGCACTGCTACAGACATCGCAACAAATGCCAATGCTGCAACACCTCCAGCAAATCCATCTAGTTCATCAATAATTTTATGACCACGGGTCATCAAAATAAATGTAAATACAGTCAGCAACAGATAATATCCTCCCAGATTCAAAAGGCCAACAGGTGCAGGTAATGGGACCAGCATTTTCCTGCATCTCAGTGCAACAAACAGAAAAATAAATCAGTTGGATATGATAAAATAAAAGCACAATTTGCAAGAAAAGGCTTGTGACTAACATCTAATCACCAATGAGAACAGAAGCTTCATATATGCTCACAAGCACACCCCATTGCAAGGGAACTGTAATATCGACTCAGTAGCATGAATGATCCTAATCATTGTACAAAACTGGATATTCAATTTTTCTCAATAAAATCTCAATGATCATCAAAACAGCAACTTAAACAATAGTAAACACAAATACATTGTTTAAAGTTCTGACAATATTTCCTAATCATGAATTTATCAATTGTTCAATTATTATAGGATGTGCTATCTTCCAAATAACTCATGCTTACTAGATCCTAGTTATACCAAATCGTGAATACCTACAAAATCCAAATTTTGTAAATGTCTATAATTAAAAAAGCCATTACGTCGCTTATATCTAGTGCAACTGATTCACCTAAAGAATCATGCCATTAAATACTTATGTAGAGTGGACAAACGAAAAAAAAAAAAAAAGAACTTGCACAGATCTATAAAATGATCCAAGGAACTGCTTAGTCTCGAAACTTTTACAATAAGAAAATATTTAAATTGCCATCAGCTAAAAATTCATTAGACTAGAATGAGAAAGTATACATGCCGTAAGGTGATGATATATTTTGGGTGTACAGCCAAAATGAAAACCATGCTGCAACAGCCACCTGTGGAAGAAAATCGTGTGACCAACAGCGATCTCCAAAATGCAGAATAGCCAAACAAAAAGAGGACATTCATGATACTTCAATGAAAAAACAATTAAAAAAAAAAAAAGAAACATCTAAAGTATTCACCTCCAATAAAAACTTTGTCCCTCTAGATAGTCCAAAATTACGAGGCTTAATAAGGCCTACTGTATCATCAAAAAGACCAATCACAGCATATGCCAGAGTCACTAATAAAATGCCCGTAGATTCGGTTGAAGAACCACCCATAAATTTAGCAACGGCAACCCCAATGGGTATGAAAAACACTCCACCAATGGTCGGCGTTCCCTTTTTAGAGTTATACTTGTAAGGCCATTTCCTTCGAAATTTCTGACGAATATTAAATATTTTAAGTATTGGAACAGAGACATAGCCTGCAAATGCTACTAAAGATGCAGAGGCTAAAAAGGGTGACAAAAAGTAAAAGGCATCCAAGGGTTGTCTAACAATGCGCCAAGCACGCCAGTCTACAAATGCCAGGCATATTGTCAAGAAGCTGATCAGTCCAAAATTGCTAACAAAGCCATATATAATCCTGCATCCAAAAGAAAGATCTATCAGCATAACTGAGCAGCTTCAGGTCACAATCACTGTCATATACAAACCCTTAAAAACAAAAATATGATTTCAATTGCTTTCCTTAAGTCCTAGGGACATCCAAGCGCATTTAAAATAAATAAAAAATTAAAAAAATAAACCCCGATAATCACTCAATCGTTGACACTTGACAGTGCATTATAAACTGTCACTTCTCTGATCTCAACTTGTTAGCAGCTAACGGCTCCTTACATGGTGATGTCCCCTAGCCAAATAGATACAGAATCCAATCTAAGTATGTCTACAAGATCCCAAACAGAACAAAACTTGGCTCATTGTAAACCATTTCAATTCTATTTTTTTCACAATCCTATTTCACAGAGTTTGATAAGAAAAACTTGTATATATGAGGCCATTGCAATTTCTGTCATTCTATTCATATGGGTTCAGCTGAAACTTTGGAATAAAAATGCTTTGGTGACATCTTGACCTACCTCTGCAGGGAAACTCACAAAACATCCTAAAAAACAGAAAGCCATTGTGGTAAGAGAAACTGAATTGTATTCTTCAATTGGGTGCACAACACCAAGTTATTCCTTAAGATGTATAGATAAGTTCATGAGGTATATAAGGAAATAGAAGAATGAAATTCGGAATCATCTTTTCCAAAAATTATGAGGTGGCAACATATATATTGAATAAGTTGACCAGATTAATGGAGATGGATGGGCCCTGACAAATTTTGCAGCATATTCAATTATTATAATCTTATGCCAAGAATAATGTCGTTGAAACAGCCTAAGGGAAGATGCATTATATGGAAGCTCATAATATATTTGTTAGGATCAGCTTGGAGAGAAAGCATACAGTGAGTTTTGCTCTATAAACAAGTAAAAATTAGAAAGAGCTCATCATGATCAATGTTATGGACTTCTCTTATAGTTTTACATTGCATTATGGGAGAGTGCAAACCTCTTGAATGCTTGTGTTTATTGGTTACTTATTCACATTTCTGGTTTACCAATCATAATCACCTTCTTTTCGCATTAAATCACTGTCAAGCTGTATGGCCTGTATCAGTTCATGACAAATAACAACTACTATCAAAGCCTTAATCCCAAAGATGGGGTCGCCTACATGAACCAAGATTCTATCTCTAGTACTCTCCAACCATGATCCTTTCCTTCCATTCCCTTGCAAAGGATTCATAATTATTCTATCAACTAGTTAATGAAAAACATATGCACCTGAATCACCTTTTTCTAATTTCCGTTTGCCATAATTTTCTACCCCTTGTTCCCCCATACCCCAACCCACACAACCCAAATGCTTTCACTTTATTAACCCTAGATTATTGTGACATGGTCCTTCTAGGGTATCCAAGAATACTCTTAAAGGAATACTTAACTGTCATCATATGGTCTGTAGAATTAAAATTGGAAAAAGTGTCAAGAGTCCCACTTTCAAATGAATAACACAATATATTTAAGTAATAACATGTCCAAATTCCTATTTCCATCTTCCTACTTTGCAACTGAAAATGACGTCACTTTATTGGCAACAGAGGATGATGACATGGTCCTTCAAGTATACCCAAGACTGATCTAGATATAATATTTATTTCGTCATACGGTATATAATTTTAGAAAATATCAGACCTAAAATCAAGGTCTTCACACAGGACAAAAAAATATTTTCTCTATCTTTACTCTGAGCAAGGGACTGCTGGAACTTGTTATAGATAAGTTTGAAATGTCGGCAGCAAGTTTTTGCAACACTGATTCACATTCAGTCAGGTCATTTTAATGGATACCAATTTTAAGAATTTACTATCCCATAAAATTATATTTAATACTTGATGGAAGTTATGATACATCTAAATTTTCAGCTGATATTTTCCCTTGGAATCTTTTGGCAAGAGGAAAACAAAATTACCATGAAAATGAGGCACCATAGCAAGATATGAAAACTTTGAGCAAATAAGTTTCTGAGGGCAGTCAATTTCTGAACTAGCCAGTTTTCAGACAGTCACAAAACAAAGAAACTGTTAGAGAAGATAATCCTCATGGCTTCATCTGTACGAATATAGCATAACAAATCCAAAATTTTCACCATTAATACATCTGAATACCTTCCGAATAACTCTGAATAAACCCAACTTTGGAGTTCAACGTTCATGTACAGATAGTAATTACAAGTGATCCAAGATTTACTCCCTCCGTCCCATAATATAGTGCCTATTTCTATTTTCTTGGTCAATGTTTTAGAAAATTGACTAAAGATTATCATTAATATATGCAACACATAATCCTATATTCCTATGAGACATCGTTAGATTCGTCTCATTTTGTAGTGTAAAAATATCGACTTTTTAAAACTGTTGTTAATATGTAATTAAACATATAAATGGTCAAAGGTGTGTCTAGAAGATCGTGCAAAAATAGACACTCTAATATGGGACGGAGGGAATGCATTTTTTTGGACATTTACTAGAAGTACAATCAGGTTTTAATAGGAAATAAAATTATTATAGGAAATAAGGAATACATCCCCCAAAAGTTAGATTTATTTTGAATTAATCCAAAGGTGGGATTAATTAAAGATGAATGAAAGTTAGATTTTCAATGTGAACTGTGTCTATATATAAATCGCTAAACTCTGACTAACTAGATCTCCTACATGGTACTCCAGGACAAGAGTATCAAAATGTCACACACTCAAGTACTCAACCACTCTCAATCCCAACTGCAGCCACCCAGAAAAAGGGATTAAAAATATTTGGTCCCTTCCTATTTGCTTCAACAATTGCCTTTCAATTCCTTTGTAAGTCACTTACAAAAAAAAATGCATTAATCAGTGTCCTCCTTACCAAGCCTTTGGATTTCTATCATGACCTGAAGGCCTCATTAATTGTAATTCTCTTTTCCTTAAAGCTAAAATTACATATTTAAATCCAAAGTTCCAAATTATTAAATGAAAAGGAAGCCCAAGAACGAAAAGACGTAGAAACCCCCTAGAGCCTTGGTTATATGCAAAAATCATAAACTGACCCCACTTTAACAGGCCCTCTCACTACATGGTGGTGGTGGTGGTGGTGGTTTTGTTATTACTTGGCCCAATCCTTCTCCTCCTGATAAAAGGGTATATTATTGGTGATTGATATAGAATGATACTAGGCTCTGTACCTGTCTTTTTTATGCATTCTCCCAAGCAAGGCAAGCCTAGAAGCTGTGGCTGTTAAAGCATCTTCTGCAGTAACAAACTGCCTTTTAACTCTTGGCATATCAACATCGTTCATGGGTGTCACCAGAATCTCCCCATCACTATCTTCTCCATCACTTGAGAAAATCATGTAGTCACTAGTGCCCTCAATGTTTCCCCAGTCATCAAATGAGAATATACCTACAGAATCCTAGAAAATAATAAATGCAATTTATCAATGAAACACAAACTATCAAAAGGAGTCCTCTGCTCTAGTCATCAAGCCATACTAGCACCATTCAGAAGGACTTTGAAACGAAAGAGTAACACTAAATACCTCATCCATGGACCTAAGCTGAACCACATCATGCTTCAAATTGTATCCTTGCTTCCAAATACTAGTATTCCGTAACTGTTGATTGACAAAAAAAACTAGTATAATTTACAGGATCCTTACTTGGATAAAACACATGACAAGGCGACAATTGTGGATCTTAAGAATTTTTGTTTTGAGGGCCATAAATACATTACCAGAAGTACCGTGCAGGCTTGCATACACATCATGCACAGAATTATTTATGTATGATTTCTAAGACATGCTTTTGACCATTACTTTCTTTTATTCTCCATTGTTACAAATTTTTAAAAAAAATTGATAGTATGCATCAATAAAAAAATCTACAAAATCCCATTTGAATCTTTTATCATACGTATGACATAACTATCAGAAAATCCAGTCAAGGAAACTTGACTGTTAAACTTATAATGAAAAGGAAGAATATCACAAGTTGACTATTTACGATATTATAAAATTAGTAATTAGTGAAGTAACAATATTTTGATTAAAAAAAAATAGTGCAGGTATTAAATTGTAGAATTGATTGCTATATGTCGTCTAATTGTTAACCTCTGAAGTTGATGTCATGATGTGGTTTTTGGGGCAGCTTCTCAAAGCAAGATGAGAGACTGAGAGAGGTAAAGAGTTATGTGGGTTAGTAATTACTGTTGTGTCAGACTGTCAGTGATTTGTCAAGTAGCAGGCTAATTTTAAATCTAAAGTTAAAATCAAAGTATATACTAAACCTTCAACCATGGGCTTACACTTTTAATTCCACTAGCCTTTTGGCATGCATAGGTTGTATAAAGTAAATCTGGGAAAATAAATATTATGAATTCTATTACTACGTGCAAAGTTAAGTATTAGGGGGAGGAAAGGTGAACATTGAGATATATTCATAAAAGATACTCAGTTTTGAGTTATGGGAAATTTGAAAGAAACATCACTACATATATTGAATTAATAAAGGGGAAGAAACTTGGCAACTTGGTGTTATTGGCCTGGTTTGAGTTTTTAACTAGGTAGATAGATTCATTCTCTTCCATGGTTTTAGAAAAGCAAGAACCAAAATAGTCTCTATACAATGGTCACAACAAACAATCTTATCAAATCAATTCACATTCCACTGTCTCTTATTTCCCCAACAACTTCATCGCTGTTCCCAAAAGAAGACACACTTGAATTATCCTAAATGGAGAGGCCAGAGACTACAACAACAACATCATCAAAGTCTTAGTCCCAAAATGATTTGGGGTCGGCTAACATGAATCATCATACGCAATCGTCATAATGATTTGGAGAGGCCAGAGACTACAATAGCTTAAACATCTTCTCTTTCCTCACGATATCCTTTATAAATTTCTCTCCTCCTTCACCGACACAATGCTATTCCCACAAGTTTAGCACCGAAGTTGTGAAGGCTTTGTATATTAATCTGTGCATTGCACGAGTTAAATACAACTATACAAGTATTTGTTAAACTTAGAATCAAAGCATAAACTCAAATTTTTGATCAAATAAGCTCTTTTACAAATTTAATTACTTCAAACAATTAGAATTCATCACAATCCATGACTCGCCTTAAGCCAATAACAAATTTTGGCACCGGAGACGTTAAGTTCATGTACACAAATCATAATCCGTACATTGCACGAGTAAAGACATCAAAACATAAAGTGACCATCATAACAGCCAATCATAAATTTTTAAATTTTTGCCTTTTGCGTTCATCCATAAAAAAACTCATATTAATCTCAATAATATAAATAAAAAATTAAACTAAAAAAATAAATTCAAAAAAGAAAATTAAAACCATGCCTCAGTATATTACAATTCGCAACACACCCAAATTATAACGGATGAAATTGAAGCAGCAGATCAACATGCAATTAAATAAAATGGAATTCAAGATTCAAAACATGAATGTACCTGACGACAACGGCAATGATTAGAAGAAAACAAAAAGGAATTAGTAATTCGCGGAGAATTGCGCGATCGAAAAAGCGTCAAATCATGAGGAAATCGAAGAATTGAAGAAGAATCTAATTGCATGACTATTTGACTAATATGATTGAAATTGGAAAATAAGAAGTAGAATTGAATTTGAAAAAATGAAAAATGAGCGGGGTTTATACTTTGTTCAGGGTAAGTGGTTAGTTGAAAGGAAAGAGGAAGAAGAAGAAGAATAGTAGGAAAGGGAGTCCAATAGAATGGAAAGGATTTTGGAAGGTGCGGTAGTTGGCCGGTTGCTTGTACTTTTGGCACACTTTTCAACGTGTTCAGGCTCCGCCTATGCCCGTTTTTGGAGGTGACGAGTTATAGTATTACCCTTTATTATTCCCTCCGTTTTATTTTAAGTATTATATTTGATTTTATAGAACATAGTTAAGTATAAGATTGATGATTATGTTTAGTGCTTTTCACCATTTGGTGATTAAGTTTTTTTTTTTTTTTTTCATCGTTTGGTGATTGGGGGTTAAATCCGGCCAAAAAAAATTAAAAACAGCAAAAACTTAATCACTCGTCAGATAAATATAACCACCACTACTACAAAAAAGACTAAAGAGAACGGTTGAAATAGGCTTTATAGAACGCCTTAGAATCGTTCTTCTGCTAAACGATGGGTAAAGTATATAATTCGCCTAAGAGAGGCGTTCTATATGTTGAGCAATAGAAACAGTTCTTATTTATAACCGTTCTCTTTTCCTTTCTTAGAAAATAATGAAGGAAAAGGGAACGGTTAGGCTACCTAACTGTTCTATATAACTCCTACAAAAGAGAGCTATCACCAAAGACAACCGTTCTCTAATCTTCTTTCTTTTATAAAAAAAATTAAAAATCTAAAATAGCTCGTACATCGTCCTGTTGTACTGTATTCTTGTATTTCCTATAGTATTTTTTTCTTGTACATCAATTATACTAATTACTACATATAAAAATAGCTTATGTATAAGAGCACTCTCAATGGTGAGAGTTTTTTTTAGCTCATGAACATTTTTTGTGAGGAAAAAAAATGCTCACAACTCACAATGGTGAGTAAAATGAAAAATAGGTAAAAATGCTCATGAGCATTTATTAAAAAGCTCAAAAGTTGAGCATTTTTTGCCATGAACAGTGTTGCAAGTGGGCCCCACACGCGTCAGAAAAATAAAAAAAAAAGCTGACTCTAACATCAAAACGACGCGTTTTGATGAAGCTGCCTCAAAGGCGCGCCTCAAAACGCGTCGTTTTGAGTATCAGAAAAAAAAAAAGGGAAGCTGACGCGTGCAGTTCGCTGGCGAATGAGGACGCGACACGTGGCAGCTGGCAGCAAGACAACCAATCAGAAAATACTAGCCGTTTTACAACGGTTATTTATGTATTTCCCATTTTCAGAAAAATATATTTTGTAAAAAAAAAATAAAAAATTACCAACGGTCATAAAATTAAATTCTCTATAAATAGACATGCATTTTGATATATTTTGATACAATTTCAAAAACACCTTAAAATCCTCCAAATTTTAATTTTCTTAAAAGTATTTTAATTTTGTAGAAGAATATTGCTATTGCAATTCATCCATATTGAGGTAAAAAAAAAATTATTTAATTTTTAAAATCAGTTAAATATAAGTAGTATATTATATGTAGTTAAATATTAAATTTTTAGAATATTGCTTCCCTCCGTGACAGAGAAATTCATCTATCTCTGAAACGTGATTTAGTCGAACATATTTGGCAACGATACGGGCCCCGTAATTAGGGAGAAATTAGACGATGTAGTTGTTGTGTTTTTTTTATTTCCTAAGTTTAATTGCGCATGACGATGCAAATTAATTGTTCTCTAATATTGTACCGTTTTTTAAAATAAATAAAAAATTATGAGCTTTTTTTTACAATTATTTATAATAACATAAATAATTTTACGATAAATTTTAACGATAAAAAAGAAAAAAATAAAAAAAATAAGTTACACATAATTAAACTAGTTTTTATTTATTTGGAGTAATGTTAAAATATAAATGAAATAAATAAATAAAGAAGTGTTGTGTAGGAGAGAGAAAGTTATGGTGGGGTATTGAAAAAGTAAGAGAGAGATAGTGGTGGGTGAGCATTTTTTTTGCTCACCATTGGGAGAGGAAATATGAAAAAAATTTGCCCATGAGCAAAATTAATTTGTTGAGAGAGAAAGTGGGTAGAGAGAGAGTGGGTGAGCATTTTTTTTGCTCACCATTGAGAGTGGTCTTATTGGCTAAAAAACTACATAAACCAATTTGGGTACTTCAGAAGTACGAAGTATTTAACATAATATACTCCGTAACATGTTTTCATCTATAGCTGCCGCATTCACTATCAGTCTCTTTTCTTCGCTGAGTCTCGTCACGTATTCTATTGTTGGAGAAGATGAATTAAATTTGAGCAGAACGAATAGTCAATATTCATTTTAGTCTTCTCCTGTATCCATTGCTTTCTTGAACCCTACATAAATAAAATGCACATTATTTGAATACCAAACTAGCAATTTGATGTAATCGAGAAAATCAACAAATCAAATGCATATTATTTAAAAAACAAACTAGCAATTTGATGAATGAAATCGAGAAAATCAACAAAGAAAATCATACCCCTGGACAGTTTTTTTTGTACCAGTTGAAGGAAAACTCAGCAACTTCTAAATGCCATCCATCTACTCTTTCCCCTTCCAGGTAATAAGGCCCATATGGCCTCGGGTCCGGCTGATCATAAGCCTAAGCAATCAAAACAATCATTCAATTCGAATTATAAATCAATGGAAAAGAGTTACCAGTAATTTTCTCTTAATGTAGCAACAAACGATAAAATCCTCGTAATTACCCAAATGAATGTTGCGCTGACAGGAACCTTGAAATTGATACTACTCGTAGGAGAATAGATGATCAATACAAATTTTAGATCTATCTTGAAATTTAAAAGGGATTTTTTTTGTGCTAAATCAAATCAAAATGGAGTTTAAATGACAGAGCAAAACTGGTAGAAAACAGAGAAAGGGGAGGCGGCCAAGGAGGTATAATAATACAGTAATTAAGGAGTAGGGCTAGGTTTGCTAAAGTAAAACCTGTCAAAATATAAAATAATACTCCTTAATTGAGTAACTACCCAAAATAAACAAGAAAACAGTGGGTGGGCGAGCAAATGCCTTAAACATTAATAATATACTAAAATGTGCCCGTGCATTAATTAAGGATAGGGGTGAAACAAATTTGGGTTAAAACCGAACCAAACCGAAAACCGAACCGAATAAGAAATATGGTCGGTTTTTTTTTGCGAAAGTGGTTCGACTTGGTTTTGAAAAAAAAATATTTCGGTTTTCGGTTTGGTTTCGGTTTTAGAAATTGAAAAACCGAAAAACCGAACAAAACCGAACAGAACCGAAATTTCAGGCCCAAAAGCCCCCTAGCGCAACACTTTTACCCTAAGTATATAAAGGAAAAAAAAAACTCTAATCCCTCACTTCCTCATCTGACTCTCAGTCTCTCACCTCTCCTTTCCTCTTCTTCTCCTGATCTCACCTCTCCGCCCTTTCTCTCTTCTCTTCTCAGAATCTTAGTTCTTCCTCTCTCTCCTTTCCTCTTCTCAACTCCGTCCTTTCTTTCTCCTCTTTGATCTCTTCTCCATCACTCTGTTCTCCTCTTTTCCCCACCAGCCCACAACGAACAAGTTTATTTACAACGTTATTAAGCCATCAACTGAGTAGCTAAGGTTTTTCATGTCAAATTCATCCATGAAAACACTAGATCTAGTGTTTTCATGGTCGAACTTGACCTTTAAAACCCAAATTCGAGGTTTTTCGGTGGAATGTGAGGTATGTCCTCTTTTTCTTAATTTTAATTTGATTTGAATTTTTTTTCCTACTTTATTTTTATGGTGGCGTAGCCGTGTAGATTGAATTGCGGTGGTGATAGGTAGTTGTAGGTCGATCTAGGGTTAGTGTTTGGGTGGAAAGGATGAAGGGTGGTGAAATAAGGTGGGTTGTGGGTTGTGGTGGGTGCGGATCTAGGTTAGGGGTGGTGATAAGGTGGTTTTTGGTGGTTGTTGTGGGTGGTAGTGGTGATAGTTTCTATGGGTGGTTAGTGGGCATTGTTGTGGGTGGTTAGTGGTGGTAGTTTCGGTGGTTTTTGGTAGGTTAGGGTGGGTGGTAGGTGGGTTTTAGGTGGGATGTTTATATGGTTTGGTTTGGTTCAATTTTAATTGGTGTGGTTTGGTTCGGTTTTTTTGCAAAATGTGATGTTTAGGATGCTTGAGAAGAAAATTCGGTGCGGTTTGGTTTTTTTTAGGAAAACCGAAATTTAGGTGGTTTGGTTTGGTTCGGTTTCAAAGCTAAAGTGGTGCGGTGTGGTTTGCAAAATCAAGAAACCGAAATTTGGTGGTTTGGTTTCGGTTTGGGCAAAAAACCAAACCGAAAACCGAACTTTCACCCCTAATTAAGGATATGATTAAAAAGATTACAAAGTATATAGATGCAGATAGTCTTTAATAAAACTAAAATAGTAATAACAAAAAAAAAACAACTTGATTACAAATAAAAAAATCAAGTCTTGATCATAAATAACATATTTAGGCATTATGCAGGTGTGTAATTTCTTAATATATGATTAAAGGGTATACTTACATTATTTGTCATCGCTTGAATACTTGATATTGGACAACCGATAATCATCTCAGCATATTGGTCAAAGAGTACAACAGACAATGTATTTGTAGCATCACCAATTTTTACATTGATTCTATATATGTTATTATTGATATGATATAATTACCTATAATGATGTGTCAATCAGTTTATAATAAAATTTTTAAATAAAAAAAAAAGTGAAAATACCTTGGCCTACAGAAGGAGGGGTCACACTCCACGCACATATCCGCTCTCCTTGAGTGTCGAGCACATGATTCATACCAGAAGGCATAGAAGAATCAATGGATAGCACATTTACTAGTACTCGAAAGTATTTTACCTAAAAAAAAGGCATCAAATATTATATACCTCATGTATAAGAAAATGTCAAACAAAATAATGGTTGATATACATACATTATGAGCCGCTGAAAACTAATTTAACTTGATCCTTTTAGCATTAAACACCATTTCCATTTGAGAGATACTATTGGCTATAATCTAACTCCAGCTGATATGTTTTTGGACATATCCATCATCTGCATACCTATATGAGTTATATAAATACATAAGTATGCAACATAAACTCAGTGTTGATTATGATGTTTTTAGGCTTACCATCCATGTAGATCATCAGTTTCATCAATATCAGGATCAATAAAAAGCCTGGTACATCCAACAGTCGAAAGACATGCACCTATTGGAAGGTTAGTAAAAGTATTTAAAGCAATGATAATAAAGTAAATGACACCATAGTCTTTCTATGGTTATCTAATTTTAAAAAATATTTTACCATAATAGGAGCCAACTGATACAATGGATGCACCCAATACATGATCCTGATTAAGCTCATGGAATAAGAAACGGTCTTGATCATGAGCAAACCCTTCCCATAAAGTTAGTCTCATTGTTTCCATGCTGTAAATTAAAATATGTGTTTTGATTTAAAAAAAAAAAAAAAAAAAAACTTAACATTGCATAAGTTGTTATAATTACATAAACATATGGAAAATTTTGTAATATGCTCTTACTTTGTCTACACTGACTTCTTCAAGGGTCTGAAGGACGGGTCGACCTTCAAGTTCGACTTGGTCAGAAAGAGGGTTGCCACCCTCCAAAAGGCATTAATGGAAGCTGAAGCCTATATACAGGCGACGGAGCTTTGTGCCGTGAGGCACCCGTCGGACCCCAAAAAGTCCGAACGGAGAGACAGCCGACCATCCCAGCCGGCAAAGAAATAAGAAAAGAAAAGAAAAGAAGTCTGGGCGGCAGACCGATCTGGTCAGCCGGCGCAGAAGAGCAGAAGAAAATCAGAACCGTGCGTCCCAAAGTACAAGTTCACCAAGGACTGCTCTTCCATCCTCATGGAGATCAAAGACCGGTTGCCTCTTGAAAAACCGGCAGCAATGAAAAGTCCCGTCAGCAGCCGGGACAAGAGCAAATAGTGCTAATTCCATGAGGATGTTGGCCATGACACCAACGGTTGCTATAGCCTCAGGCGGCTGTTGGACCGTCTGGCTGAGGAGGGGGCTCTGAAGTCTTACTTACCCATGTCCAAGGGTACCCCCAAGACAAACAAGGGACACCTGTCCAAACCAACGGCTGCTAACTCTGAAACCGACGAAGAAACAGTCTTCACTATAGCAGGCGGTTTTGCGGATGGTGGTCCTACCATCCGGGGTACCAAGGACAATATCAGGAAGCTGGTCAACTTAGTAGATGAGGGCCAGGCGTCGAAAGACACCTTTCCTGAGGTCCTTATTTCTGAAAAGAACCGAGGCCAGGTCAGACGGCCTCACGATGACCCCATCGTCATCGAATGTAAGGTTGCCAACCAACGAGTTGGCCGGATCTTAATTGATACCGGGAGCTCGTCTGACCTGATAAGCTATCAATGCTTGAAAAAGCTTAAGTACAAGCCCAACAACATGCATGAGGCTCCTCACCCCTTAGTCGGTTTTGGGGGAGGGGTGGTGCATCTGGTGGGAAGGATTGACCTACCCATCCGGCTGGGAGAAAAAGGGGCAAGGACGGCACATGGTCGTCAAGTTCCTTGTTGTTGAGGAGCTGACCGCCTACAATATGATTTTTGGTCGCCCCACCCTCAACGAGTCCAAGGCTGTCATCATCCCGTCTCTCATGCTGATCAAGTTTCAGAAGGATGATGGGGCAGTCGGGTGCCCTGAATGGGGACCAAAAGACGGCTAGAGAGTGTTACCTCTCATACGTCAAACCAACTATGGCTTCAGCCGGTCATGGCGAAGAACCTATAGAACTGGATAACTGCGATCACGCAGTGCCGGCTCCAAGGGTAGCCGTAAAAAGAGAAAGGCAGACCAACTGGCACCCGACAAAAAAGAAAAACAATAGCAATCACTGACCGGTGAACGGTCGGATGATCTCCGACCCCAGCCGGCTGGTGAGAGCGTTGATGTCGTCCTAGACGACAGCCGGCCCGATAGAACCGTTAAGGTTGGGACGGTCGCTTGTGAGAAATTGGGGGCAGACTTGCTCCAACTGCTGAGGGAGTTCAAAGACATTTTTGCCTTTGAAGTGGAAGAGATGCCAGGCGTAAGCCCGGATCTTGCTGTCCACAAACTCGCCGTTGATCCCAAAAAGAAGCCGGTTAAGCAAAAGAAGAGGAATCACAGAGAGGAAAGATCTCAGGCGGCAGCCGCCGAGGTAAAAAAATTGCTAGATGCTGGGTTCATCCGGCAATGCTACTACCCGGATTGAGAAGCAAACGTTGTCCTTGTTAAAAAGCCGAATGACACCTGGCGGATGTGTGTAGACTACACAGATCTGAACAGGGCATGTCCGAAGGATAGCTATCCACTGCCAAAGATCGACAGCCTAGTCGATTCTACAGCTGGTCATGCTCTGATGAGTTTCATGGATGCCTACTCAGGTTTCCATCAAATACCCTTGTGGAAAAAAGATCAAGAGAAGACGGCATTCGTCACTGATCAGGGGTTATATTGTTATACGGTGATGCCGTTTGGGTTGAAGAATGCGCCTGCTACTTTCCAACGAATGATTAACACAGTTTTTCTCAATCAAATTGAAAGGAATGTAGAGGCGTATATTGATGACATGATAGTCAAATCCAAGCTACAGACGGATCGCCTGGCTGACCTCCGAGAAACCTTCACCACCCTCAGGCGACACAAGGTCATGCTTAACCCCAAGAAGTATGTCTTTGGTGTTGAGTCTGGGAAGTTTCTCGGATTTCTAATTGATCAAAGAGGCATAGAGGCAAATCCGGAAAAAATACAGGCGGTTATTGACATGCAATCACCCCGCACTGTCAAGGAAGTCCAGAAACTTACCGATTGCCTGGCGGCATTGGGGAGGTTCCTCAGCCGGTCAGGCGACAAATGCCTCTATTTCTTCCAAGCAATCAGGAAGAGGTCAAGATTCGAGTGGGGTGAAGAGGCTGAAGCGGCATTTCAGAGGCTAAAACAACATCTGCACTCTTTGCCAAGGCTAGTGAGCCCCCTACCCCAGGAGGTTCTCTACATGTACCTAGTCGTCTCAGATCACTCCCTTAGTGTTGTTCTCCTTGCTGAGAGAGACGACAATCAACTACTGGTGTATTTCATCAGCCACGTTCTCAGAAATGCTGAACTGCGGTACCCAATGATTGAAAAATTTGGGCTGGCTCTTTACAAAGCAATCAAGCGGTTGAAACCCTACTTTTTCGCACATCCGGTGATTGTGTATACTGATCAGCCACTCAAGCGGCCAATGACTACTATAGAGTCATCCGGCAGAATGATCAAATGGGCTGTTGAAATACAAAGCCTGGAGATAACTTTCGAACCCAGGGGCAGTGAAAGGTCAGACGTTTGCCGACTTCATTGTCGAAATGACTAGGCCGCTGCAGCCGGAAAATTCGGATCAGATTTGGAAGTTATTTGTA